CTACACTATTTCTTCATAATATTATATAATATATAATTATAATACTATAATAATAAAGTTTAAAGTAAAGAAAAAACGCAATATATTGCCCTGCTTATAGTATTACAACATATTGCAATTTATTGAATTGCAACGTCTAATCTACATCAATCGTTAGCAAGGTAGTTAGCTGGTGTTTTGCTAACATTGGACTAACTCAAGGTGTGACTTTATATATGTCACTTTTATCTTTAACAATCTTCAGAGTTTGGTCTTCTTCTGTTACCGGAGCAACAAGCCAAAAATATTAACCTTCATACAAACAAAGATTTGAACAAAATAAGTATTTACATGCTAATCAGCTCGATTAAAAAACAAAACAAGATTGACGAATCCCTTGACTATGGAGGAGAAAGAGAAAACATAGATTGATAGAAAATAGATTCATTTAAGCATCTTGTCGAGGTGACAGGTGAGATATCCTTGAAAACTGAATCTTTGAGTTCTGGCCTGTTGTTTGGACAGAAGTTTGATTTTTGGACGATTTGCACGAACCAGCAAACACATCTGCCTTCCAAATAAAACCGGTAACCAGTCACAGCTTCTCTCCTGCTGACTCGCAGCTTTTAAACTTTCCCATAATTCACTGTGAGGTAAAGATTAGACTCTGTAAACAGTTCGCTGCCGCTGTAAATTCAGCAACGACAACGGAGCTCCTGGTGGGAACCATTAGCTGCTTTAAACGCTGCCTGACTCCAAAACCTCCGACCACTGCTGCTGAGTCAGCAGGAAGTCCCAGCAGCAGTGTGTGTGTGTGTGTGTGTGTGTGTGTTAGAGATGATAACATAATGATAAGTGTGCGCTGTGTGTGTAGCTGCAGTGTAGCTCAGATGTGGCTGCACTCATTGTGTGTCTGTGAGGCGTTCATGGTCTTTGTGTACGTGCAGTAAAAGTATGATGTGTTCACTCTCACCCATCGTTGTCATGGTTACCTGCAGTTTAAGTTAAGTGCCGTGCTCCCGCCGAACGCTAAGCAAATTTTCACCTCGCGTTTCTCGCACAAGTTTACTTGCGTAGTAATCTGGTTCACAACGGCGGCAGATGTTTCTGTGATTTCATGTCAATAAACGGATTAATATAATACTGAAATAACGACATCGTGATGGCGATTTATAAAACGTGATCAGGGCTATGCTAACTTAGCTCATAGTAAAGTAAGACAGATGTGAAGTGTTGAAAATATGTGTTAGCCAATCAGAGCCCAGTTGTGCTAACCCTCTGTCTATCTGTCTGTCTGCCTGTCTGTCTGTCTCAGGTGAGTCTCAGGGCACGGTGAACTTCGTCCTCTCTAAAGAAGGCGGCGACCTCTCTCTGGTGGAGCAGGCGAACGTCTGGCTATTCCTCCGCTTGGCGAAGACCAACCGCAGTCGAGCCAAAGTCACCATCCGCCTCTTCCAGCAGCGCCGGCTTCTCAACGGGCACCAGTCTCTGCCACAGGACGACCTCCTCCTGGTGGAGAAAACCGTGGACACCCGTCGCAGTGGGTGGCACACCTTCCCAGTGTCTGCGGCGGTGCAAGCGCTGCTGGAGAGCACCGAAAGCACGACACTGAGCCTCAGGGCGTCCTGCCCGCTCTGCGCCGACGCTGGTGCCACGCTCGTCCTGGTCTCCGGCAGCTCGGAAACGTCGCAGCGTGCCAGCCAGCGTGAACAGTCCCACCGGCCCTTCCTTATGGCCGTGGTCCGGCAGGAGGACGGCGGGGACTCGCGGCGGCGCAGGAAGCGTGGGCTGGAGTGTGACGGGAAGGTCCGCGTCTGCTGCAAACGGCAGTTCTACGTCAACTTCAAAGACATCGGCTGGAACGACTGGATAATCGCGCCACCCGGTTACCATGCCAACTACTGTGAGGGCGAGTGCCCATCCCACGTGGCGAGCATCACCGGGTCCACGCTGTCCTTCCACTCCACCGTCATCAGCCACTACCGCATGCGGGGCTACAGTCCGTTCCAGAACCTGCGGTCGTGCTGCGTGCCCACCCGGCTACGAGCCATGTCCATGCTCTACTACAACGAGGAGCAGAAGATCATCAAGAAGGACATCCAGAACATGATCGTGGAGGAGTGTGGCTGCTCGTAAACCCCGAACAGGACCAGGACAAAATGGACTGGAGGGGAGCGGAGAGGAGAAGGACATCTGAACCCCAGAGAGAGGGAGGAGGTGACTTTATGATCTTCGTCACTCGAGGTCGCTCTCTGGGAGTAAACTCCTCTCCGTCCTCGTCCGGCAGAACTCAGAAAGAGTCTCAACGGCACTTTCAGACAAAACAAGAAAAGAAAAAAAAAAGCTCAAAAAAAAAAAAGAATATCTAATATATTTTTGTTACCAGAGGAGGGAGCGAGGCTTATTTATGTGGCTGAGACGTTCAAGCACCACTCGACCCGTCAGACATCGGAGAGACGAGGTGCCTGAAAAACTACTAACAAAAAAAAATCTCAAAACTATGCAACTTGTTTCACGTATTACGATCTTATTTTACTTTGTTTACTTTTTTCAAGACGTACGAGGAAGAAAGAAGAAGACTTTTGTATTTTTTTTTTGGAAGTTTGTAATGTGTGTTTGTGTGTGTGTGTGTTGAGAGATACTTGAAAGAAACAAGTTGGCCCGGCTGCTGGAACCAAACACTTCTTTATGTTACCATGGTTACCATGTTGGTGTTATAATTATTATTGTCAGTAAGTAAGTGTATTAATAATAATATTATTGTTATTGTTGTTAATAATATTTTGTTTGGCTGCATTTTGTGTTGTTATGTCTTTTAATTATTTTAATTTTTTAAAAAGAACATTTTTTGCACTATAGCGACACTCATGCTCAGATTAGCCGGACTGAAGAGAGCGGACAGACCGGAGCTTCCTGTTCATGGCGGGCTCACAGGTTTCCTAAGCCCCGCCCCCTTTCCTCTGAGCTCCAATAACAGTTGAGCACGCCTCGGTCAACTTCCTCCTTTCCTGTACCTAGATATGCTACGTGCTAGGCTAATCTATGTTCAAAAGACATTTTGAAGATGGCTAAAAGAGACATTAATATTGTCACATCTTAAGACGGCAAAAACTTAGCCAACAAGCTAGCTAATCTACATCAACTGTTAGCTAGATAAGTAGCTATGTTGCTAGTTGGCTAGTGCTGGTGTTTGATTTGCCCATTCAGGGCTACTGTAGAAACAATGATATAAAATTATAAAATAAAGAATTAATCTTATTTTGGGGCACTTATGAAATACACAAATGAAAACATAGTTATAGTAAATATTTAATTCCATTTCTTCTATTAGATCCTCCTAAATGTTACACTCAGGACCTTTAAGATGTATTTATACATTTAAAAAAATTTAATTGTCTTTTCAACATAGACAAGCCTAGCAAAAGGGGCGGAGCTTAGTCTGGATCAAAAATCCCAAAGTAGGTGGACACAGTGTCTGAGTATCTCATACTCATTTATAAGTACTAGGGCTGTAGCCAGGACTTTTGAAAAACGAATAAAGTCTATAAAATGACTGAAAGTAACTATTTGGATTTTTTGTTTTCTTTTTTAAATGTGTTAACTGTTACATTACATTGTAACGGACATTTTATGTCCAAAATGGAGGCCCATATGTTCCCCATACTGCCAGAAAATAAAAATCTGATATTTATTTATTTATTTATTTTTGTTGCCATTAAAGTATTCAAATTACGAGTATATTTAGTCCAAAAATGCTAAAATCAGTCCCACCATGTGTAAACTCTCCTTATGGTCCCATAAAAACACAGCGTAGTTGATCTGAATGGATGCTACAGCGCTGCCTCAAGTCTTTTCAATAAAAAGAGATGTCAGTTTAACGGCAGTCAGTCATCTTATGTCCTTTCTGTTAGCTTAAATATTCGGTGACAGCTAGCCAACCGCTAAAACAAACCCCTTAAAATCACTTCTATTTTTGTCTGTGGTGGATGTTTACAGTACATTAAGGTGATTAGCATTATTAGCCAAGAATCATTATACACAAAAAAAAGAGAGATTTAGCGTTTGTATCGAGGGATTCATGCATGTTTTTAATGTCTTTTGTGGATGTTTTTAATCTGTTATGAAGGTGACACTTTATTTAAAACATTTGTTAAAGTATCTCCTGTAGACAAATTTGCACTTTGGATAAATTGAAGTCGTATTATCACACGAATAAACATTAATAACAATGTAAACCTCCACAGAGCCTCCATAAATCAACCAATAAATCCTGTAAAGCTGTTTTGTGAAATTCGTAATAAATGAGTGATTAAAGTGATACCAGACACACAGAGGGTTAACATTGTGTTCTTTCATTGTTACACCAGGGTAAATACGAGGATTTCTGCACGTTGAGTTTAAAAAGAGAAAAACGTTTTTTTTTGTTTTTGTCCCGTTTTAGTTTGCTTTAGAACACCAAAGAGTTGAGTTTGTGCACTTGTTTGAGTGAGAAAAACTGTTAAAGTTAGATTCATTGATGCTGAAAAAGAAATAGTTCATTTACAACGTGATTTATGTGCGAGAGACAAAAAAATACAGAAAATGTGTAAAATTGTGTCAAACAGCGTCTCAAAAGTTGCTTTCATGAAGAGTTTTATTCAAGCTTTATAGTTTCAGATTCATTTAGATTTTTTTATTGAGTTGTGATGTTTTTACTTTGTTTCTCTTTCTACCTGCACACCAAGAACCCAGTTTCCCACAATTCTTTACATTAAAATAAACTGAAAAAGACAATCCACAGTCGCCTTGTTCTGTTTTTTGGGAGAAAAACAATCAGATTTCAGAGTGTTTCTGTGTTGTGTGTGTTTATATTAGTATTGTCGACTTGTTCACCAAATGTTTTGGAGTGTCGGCCCCCTTTTTAACAAAGTCACACGTGTTTTTAGTTTCTCTTTTTGTTGGTGGACCCTCTTCTTCCGGACTTTCGGGACACGGTCCATCCTGTGTGTACATGGACGCGTACAAAATGTCTGCAGATCAAAAAAAAAAAGCTTCAAAAAGAAGCAAAGCAAAAGGAGAAAAAAAGGTATAAAAGAAGTGGTTGTATTTTGTTCAGATTTTGTTCTTTTGATCGAGACAAAAAATACTGACACTGAACGAAGTGGACAAAGAATAAAAAGTCTATTTTTTATTCTGTATATATGGAAATCAAGATTCCAGTATGTTGCATTGCTTTGTTGTACAAATCAAATGTGCTTGTGGCATTTTTCTAATCTAATTTATTTTACAGTATTGTTCTGTTTTTTTGTTTTCTGCTTCACCATTAAAGTTTAAAGGATGTACACAAATGAAACGAGTCTTTGGTCCTTTAAATCTCAGGAAGAAAATATCTCACTTTTATTTCTGCTTCTGCAATTAAAACCTTATTTCATTTGTCATTAATTCCTCCATTAACAGAGGCTAAAGCTAACAGGTCCCAGGTTATGATCATGCTAACGGACTGAACTGAGCTGCTGCTTCTCTGATGTCCAATGACTAAAATCCTTTATC